TCAAAAATGAAGCTTAATGAAGCGCCATCACTAGGGGGTCGGCATAATTCGGGGAACGGTAATAGGCCTCGGTGAGTTTCCGATCGAACCTGCGTTCACACCAGGGCAACAGCAACAAATATACACGACGACAACTTGGACATCAACAATCAAATATGAAGCTTAATGAAGCGCCATCACTAGGGGGTCGGCATAATTCGGGGAACGGTAAAGGCCTCGGTGAGTTTCCGATCGAACCTGCGTTCACACCAGGGCAACAGCAACAAATATACACGACGACAACTTGGACATCAACAATCAAAAATGAAGCTTAATGAAGCGCCATCACTAGGGGGTCGGCATAATTCGGGGAACGGTAATAGGCCTCGGTGAGTTTCCGATCGAACCTGCGTTCACACCAGGGCAACAGCAACAAATATACACGACGACAACTTGGACATCAACAATCAAATATGAAGCTTAATGAAGCGCCATCACTAGGGGGTCGGCATAATTCGGGGAACGGTAAAGGCCTCGGTGAGTTTCCGATCGAACCTGCGTTCACACCAGGGCAACAGCAACAAATATACACGACGACAACTTGGACATCAACAATCAAAAATGAAGCTTAATGAAGCGCCATCACTAGGGGGTCGGCATAATTCGGGGAACGGTAATAGGCCTCGGTGAGTTTCCGATCGAAGCTGCGTTCACACCAGGGCAACAGCAACAAATATACACGACGACAACTTAAACATCAACAATCAAAAGTGAAGCTTAATGAAGCGCCATCACTAGGGGGTCGGCATAACTAGAGGGACGGTTCACCACCAAGGTGGGTTTCCGAAAACAACGACATTCACACCACACCTAAGTTCAACATAGGCAATCGCACTTGAAGCTTAATGAAGCGCCATCACTAGGGGGTCGGCATACTTACATGGACGGTTAACAGATACGGTCGCAAGAAAAACTACAAATGTACATACAGTGTCACGGAATGCATTTACTCGCAACGGGTAAATGCCGTAGTGGCTCTAAACCACTCTATTTCACTCCGCAGCGACGTTTTGCACCAAAACGCAAAAGATGAACTTGACGTAGCAGCGTAAATAGGGTGTCGGCTCGTTTCAACCCCAACTATTACATTTTCATTACATTACACCATGAAAAACAATTACACAATCAACGAAAAATTCAAATGTCATATAGTTGTCTGTAAAATGCCATGCTGGCATGAATATTGTTATCTTTACGCCGCAGTGGTATTTTTTTTTTACTTTTTCTATATTCCACCACGGTTAATGCGGAACATAATTGGCAATGGTTTTATCATTATTTGACAATACAAATAGCATTTAAAATGCCATTAGGGCATTTTGTTTCTTTTCTAAACAATGTTACTGGAGAAATAAACTCACCCATCACTGGTTGACGCTGCAGAGCCTGCACGAGTGGTTGCTCTCGTACGACGCGTCTGGGGATGCTGCACTGATGGCTGAGGAGAGTGGGGGGGGAAGCCTGTGGGGAAGGCTGGGGCGAAGGCTGCGGTGAGGTCATCGGCAAAGGCTGCGGAGATGGAAACCCGTGAAACGGGGATGAGGTGTCCGATCTGCAGATAGTTACATTCATTAGCAATGAGTTTTGTACGATATGGCCATATCTGTTAGCCATGTATGCTGTGGGATTAAGCAAGAGACTTATAAATAATTCCAAGTATGTGTTGCTCACAACATACAATATGTAGACGGTTAGGTTAGGTGTGTTGTTACCAAACATATTTGTGAATTCTGTGACATATGTGATTAATATATATTGTTGTATGATATGGCAATATATGTAAGCCATGTATGCTATGGGATTGAACATGCGCACAATTATTACAAGTGTGCGTTGCACACAAAATAAAATATATAGACGGTTAGGTCAGTTGTGTTGTTAGCTAACATTGGGTTGAATTCTGTGAGATGTGTGATCAATGGTTATCATTGTATTATGTGGCCGTATTTGTAGGCAACGTTTGTTGTGGGATTACACATGGTCAAGTATGTATAATGTACGGGAGCTTTGCTACTACTTGTTGTATATTAGTTATATGCTAAACTACTCTTACCGGTTTCCAGGATCCGGAGAGTTCAGCACATGCCGCGGACATTGATCCGCAGACACTTCGCACCTTCCAACGCCCTGGACTGGAGTTGAAGTTGCCCTGGACAAGAAAGTGTAATATTAGAAAAGTATTGAAATGAAAGGGACCATAAGTGGACATGAAATTTAAAGTGTATTACATTAGATGTAGAATAAAGTTATTGGGAAACAGTAATATTTATTACTTGTGTCAGGATGTTGCATTTTATTATTCAAATTCAAGCTCGAATTTTTTCGGGAAAATTGTTGGGTGTAAGGGGTGTAACCAAAAAGCCGTTGTGGCGTTTTTTAAGACTTATTAACAGCACTAACAACTCTGTTATTAATTGCATTATTAACAAAACTCAAATGGGGGTGTGTGTATGTCCTTCCGTTAATGAGCTAAATGGAACTTATCAAAACTATTTAACATTTAACATCTCTCATGACCCGTTAATAAAACAGAACAGATTTTTTATAGAATTTATAACAAAATTTTTAAAAACAGTACAGTCTGTCCTTCGCATAAAGATATATATTTCATATTTAAATTACATTTCCTTAATGGTTCGAATTCAATGGAAACAAAGGTTATGATAACAATCCCTTACCGGCGTGGGGTTGGAGCAGCCTCGCTGTTGATAGAAGTGTGTAGGGTTGTTGCCAGCACCTCGTCTTGTGGCGGGGAAGCCATCCTGGCATAATGGAATCTGTAAAGAGACATATTCATCATACAGGTGGTTTTACTGACATAAAAGCTACTGTTGATTAGGTTATATTGATTATTAATACCCTACTTTATGAATAGCATTGCACACAACATACGAAATATATAGACAGTGAGGTTAGAGCTGTTGCGGTTAGGTTAGGTTGAACTATGTGACAGATGTCAGCAGTAAATGGTAATTCCTGTTGTATAATGGGATACATGTTCGGGTTACACATTGGAATAGCGTCTCTCACTAATGAAACTCCCCCGCCGGACGAGATGTAGACGAATTGGACTGTGGTCGTCTGGGAGCACCAGTCATGTCAACATACATACAACATAATACAACAATCCACGGGTTAGGTTAGGTTTTCTTTGTAGGTTTGGTGTTCTTTTAAATGTTGTGTGGGTTTGATATGTTTGTAAGTAAGTTTGGGTGTTGGGTTTTGTTTTGGTTTTCAATCTTATTCTTTTTGGTTACTATTTGTTTTATCTAATATTAATCAGTTTTTGTGTGTCGTTTCTGGTGTGGTTTGTTTTTTAATTATAGTGTTACAAATTCAGGCAGGCTCTTGTTCTTCCCTCTGCATAGGGCTCTCTGTATCAGAGTAATTCATTCTTGACAACCACCCTACAAGCCTAATTCATTACAACATGTTCTAAATGGTGGGCCTACAGTAATCTATAAGTTATATTGTTGTAGTAGGGTTGTATTGGCAACAATAAATTTTTGATGTAAGCCTACCTTTGTATGTTGACGACTAGGCGGCACACAAAGGACTCCACCTCCAGAACTGCCTCGGCCGGGTTGGGACGGTAACTGTCATCCACTAGTCTGCCGTTGGCGATGAGGAATGTCGACATCTCCAGAATGAGTAGCTGGCGGAGGTCCTCTGGCAGATTCAGGTTCCTCAGACCGTTCCTCGCTCCAGCGGCTGCTTGTAGGTACTGAGGTAGCCACGTGCTTGGCAAGGCCACTGGATGGTTGGGGGGTGGTGGGCCGTAAGATGTTGAGGGCAGGGAGTGGTCAGGTAGGGAGGAACGGGGAGGCTGAGGGGGAGTGACAGGTTTACTATTTGCTGGAGGGGTGCGTTGGGGGGGTGGGCTGTGCTGTGTGGGGGGCGGGCTGTGGTGTGTGGGGGGCGGGCTGAAGTTTTGGCGGGGTAGGGGTCGAGGTTCGGGAGTCGGTCGAGGTGGGGGAGAGGGGGGATCTGAGGTGTCTGAATCTGTGTCATCGGTGTTCTCTAGTCCTAGCCTTGTGTTTGGTTGCGGGTAATGAGACAAAATGACGGTGTTGGGGGTGTCAGGTGAGGGCAGCACCATCACTTTGGGGATAGCAAATTTCTCGAGCCACTCAAGTATTAGCGGAAGTGGCACCTGCAGATTATGCCTACTGAAGGACCGCGGCCTGATGTTAGCTCTCACAAAGGCATAGGAGTTGAAGAGGGCCCCATCTATTTCCTCAATCAGTGACACTTCAGCACCAGTGTAGCTATAGGGACGAAGCCGGTTGTGGGTGGAGTTCCCACGGATGTGGAGGGGGGATAGAAGGTCATTGTTATAGCGTGAGTGGGTCGTACGGAGAAATATTTGAGCTAAGTCACGATTGAAGTTCAAGCCAAGGTTGTAGGTGAATGAGAGGAAAAAGTGCAACAATTGTGTGTCAAATAGGTTAATGGGGAACGGGATTCCATAAACGTATTCCACGTCTTCGGGGTGCGTTCTGATGTAAATTGTGAGAAGGCGGAGGGCGGATGTGTTGCCAAGGCCAGTAATGCAAGCTTGAAATCTGTCCTTCCAAAGTTTACGCACAGGGTTCTCGTACGGGCAGCGGGGGTTGGGACAGCTGCCGTGGGCAAGGTGGGTGCAGCGACAGGGTTCAGGGTCGCTGGGACGAGTTACCAGTGCAAGTACCCCGCCCAGGGTACGAGACGCAGTCATCGAGTTTACTGCAACCCCGATGTGTGTGTATGTGGTCCGCCTTCCCATAATGAACGCTTGGATCAGCGGATGCGTAGCAATATAATCCGTTAGCAGATTCATACGATGACCTGTATTTTGGGAAAAACAATTGTGTTAGAAATTTGTATGTTTATCGTTTATTGTATGTTTTTTTAAATTATAAACTTGTGATGGTTAAACTTGTTAGTGGTTGGTGGGTGCAATTAGTTGTTGTTGTGTTATGAATTTACTACTGGCTGGTGAAACCCTGGGTATAGGTGGTTATGAAATTTGATTGGATTAGGAGTGGCAAGGTGTAGTTGGGATAGATTGGGACAGGGCGTAGATTGATAGGTGCTAAGATGGGCTCGGTGGCATTTGGGTCTTGGGGGGGAGTCCTGACAACACTGGAGGACCGGGAGTACCTAGTGGAAGTGGAGATGGGGGAAAATACTGGACTAATAGGGCAGTAACGACGGGAGTGGCGGGACGAGCGTTGGGGCGTGGTGAAGCTGTAGTGGTGGGAGTGACGGGTGGGCGTGGCATGGGTGTGTGACAGTGAATGGCGGGAAATATTGGAATCGTAGGGGGCGTGGAATAAGTTTCGTCGGGATATTGTGTTACGGGTGTAGTAAACTGGATGTAGGGAGAGTGGGTCTGAAGTTGGCGGGTGATCGGATACAGTATTTTGTGAAGGGCTAGTGAATGTGGAATGGTTTGTATAGATCGTTTGGGAGTAGGTTTGTGAGCCGGTAAGAGATAGGGTTGAATTGGTGAGGCTAGTTGATGGTGAAGGTGGTCGTCGTTGGTTACGGTTCAACGGTGAGCGGGCGGAAAGGCCGTCTAGACGCTGGGACGGTGCATGCGAGTGTGTTGAGATGCGGGGCTGAGAATGTCTCGCAGATGATGGCCGTGCCAACTTTGAGTGTCCACTCAGTGACGCCCTGCCGGAATGCGAACTGCGCTGGGAAGATTGGCGGGGTTGAGAGTGTGATGCAGTATTGGACAGTCTTCTCTGCGAGGGTTCATTCAATGACGCCCTGCCCGATAGACGGTGACTTCGTACAGATATCGATCTTTGAGACGACCTCACGGTACAGACTGAGCGGGACGGAGAACCTGTTGTAGACGAGGTTGTTCTTGTCTGCGAGTGTTGGCTCAATGAAGTCCTGCGATGATGTCTGCTCGAATTGGAGCTTTGGGACGACCTCACAGACCTCACAGCATTGACTGAGCGGGACGGAGATCCTGTTGCAGATGAGGTTATTCCTGGATGCGAGTGTTGGGTCAATGAAGTCCTGCTATGATGACTGCTGGATTTGGAGTTGTCTGTGTCTCCCGACAGCACCTCGATGCCGGAGTCTGTTTCGGGGGGTTCTCCGACAAGTGTTATACGAGTCTCTAATGGTACGTGTCTGAAAAAATACATGTTGTATTCGAAGTACTGGTGGTCAATCGTGGCTATGGGCCTGACGTCATTGATCGAAGAGGGATAGGCAACATCAACGCCCAACTCATTGTTGTATTCCGCAATCAATTCTTGAATAGGCTTGTCGGCCACTATCGACCTCACCCTGGTTTGGAATGTTTCTGGATAGTCTTCAATCGGACAGTTCGAGCAAATGATGATGGGTGACGTCCATCGTACGGATATTGCATATCCACGGCATTTCTGATCGATGCTAACAGTGTTGCCACTGAGAAGAGGGTTCAACATCATTTGATTTTTTCTGTGGAAATCAGGGGTGAATTCATCGAACACTATCAACTTGTGGATGGATGGATCCAAATCGCTCATGAAAAAGTCTGAGCTGTTGCTCGGTACAAACATTCTATGTTGCTGGTCTTCTATTGACAGGGTTCCATACGCAAACGCGGTTTTTCCCATATTGGCTGGTCCGCTCAGATAAAGGTGACGTTTCTTCCGTACATCAGTCTTGGTGTCATTTACGAACAATCTGATGTGGTTAACAGATTCGGCCACCCATCCGTGACTTACTTGGTGGTTCAGCTTATACCCACCAAATTCAGGGAGGCTCTTGTTCTTCACTTCAACATAAGAGTCAGTGTAGTATTTAAGGCTGTGCTTGTTATTGAAAGCAAGAGATGATAACAAAGACGGTCTGGACTGGCGGGCCAACAGGATGAAGGTGCGAGCATATTCGCTCAACTCAGAAGTGTTGCAACTGTAAAGGCAACTGTAGTCTTCTTTGCTACAATAACGGATTAGGGCCTCACGTACCCTCACGCTGGACAGATGCATGGAAGATATGAACAATTTGCCTTTAGCTTGTCCTAGGATGAAGTCCCTGAGAGATACGAAACTGACGTTTTTTGAGGTTTTGACATATGTCTGCAAATGGATTAAGCTGTTGCTGTTGGGACAGGTGTTGTGTTCGAGACCAATAACGTACTCGTCCAGTTTGAATTCTCCGCTGAAGAAATCGAGGTACGTCTTACGTATTTCAGGCGGGGCAAACCATTCTTTACGGAAAGAAACACGGACAGAGAAACGGGAGCTCTTACGGGATTTTTTTGGGACAAAGCATTCTATGCCATCAATTAGTGTGACACGCTCTGGGACTTCGTCTATGCCGGAAGAAATTTCACCCTTCGATTTTGCCGTTATGGTCTTTGGACGGGTATTGACTCGTTTTCGTTTCTTCGTAACCGGCAAACGTTGCGATTCATCAAGGCCTGAGTCAGATGTGTTCAGGGTGACCGATGTGGCGGCAGCACAACTGTTGCTTGAATGGGATGGATCATCAACTATTTCGGATGTGTCTAGGGTTGATATATCTGTAACGACGAAATTACAGTGTAACGGTTTTATAATATAAGTTTTTTTTTTGGGTTTTTTTTTTGGAGTTGGATAATTGAGGATTGTGTTAGGAGAGGTATTGGTTTTTCAATTGTTAAAATTTGTCCTTATATGCATGCTAGTGGAGTATGGTGTTGGGTTAGGTTAGGTTGGGTTAGGTTAGGTTTTTTAAGTTTAGGGTGGTGTTGGGTTAGGTTAAGTTATGTTAGGGCTGGTAACAGTTTCACATAAAAATAACGAAGATGTTGCAAGGGCAAATTTGAGCACCATGAAAGTTCTCTTACATTTGGTACTGTGCGAGATGGAATGAAAATTCCACAAGTAGGCTATTAAACATTGGTGTAATAATTCATGTTCTCATTGTAGGCCTGTATATATGATTAATTGATTAATTGTTGATAACAACAACAAGTAACAGATTATTGCAAACACTTCAATAAATTATAACTAAATTGCCGAGGAGAGGGCCACAACCAGTAGGATGGTGAATATTATATTACATAAATGGAAGCAATACTAAATACCGTAAAAATAATGATTTGTTTAGAGAACCGTAAATGCAGTTTGTTAAAATGTCAGTAGTCTATAGTAGCTGTTAATTGACACAGGCCTGGAATATTTCAAAGTGATTTAACAGACATAAACACACTGGAGTTTTTATTGAGTACAACACTGTTTCGCAAGTTGCCTTACATTCACCTACATACCCACATTAGATACAATTAGCGGGGGTGAACCTAGTGCAATCATAACTTAATTGATGAATGGGAGGAATGTGCAGTTGGATAACAAGCGTTAACATTAATAGTGCATTGTTAGCAAAGCGAGAGGGATTACAAATGTGGATATTATTTAATAAACACAACATTAGACTTACATGATTTTTTGGCTTGGTAGTTGGCGGAGGGAACAGTTTTTTCTTGGTTATTGTTGGTCGACTTTCAGCAGATCCCTAAACCATTATTTACCATTGAATAACCCATATACTGTACAGTTATTAGAAAGTAAAGATTGTTAGGCTGAAGATTTTTCATACCTTGTGGTATTTTTTTGTAGTTTGATAAGTTCATAGTTCTTGAAATTACTAATTATTAGAAGTGAAATGTAAAAAGTTGTTTTTCAAATGACTTTATTTATTCATAAATTTTCGATAACATAATTTGTAGCTAGAAATAATTAGGATAATATACGTTAAGGCATTGATATTGTACTAATTTTATTTAATTTAATATAGTATATTTATTATGCACATATTTAAGGAAACTAGGCTATTTTTGGTTTATTTCATAATTATTTATTTTATACTCACTGTTCATCTATAGCACCCTGGTCCCAGATTGACTGAGAGATGGATGTTGTCGATGCGGTGGGCTTATCATCAAGTTTAGGTTTTTTCAACGGGGGAGCGGGGGACAGAGAAAGTTGGGCTATAGCCTGGTCACTGTACAGATAAATGTGATCTGAGTCGCAGTAACTGACCTGATGGAAAATGGAACCACGCCTACTTTTGCAAACTAACGTGACTGGTGTGGGCAGACGTTCTGAGTCGCAGGTACATGATTTGGAGGTAGTACCATAGAAATTAGGTTGGCTAGGCCAGAGATGTACAGCGGTTTTGTCGCAATACACAACCCTATAACTGGAGTTCCCTCTCACACGGGCGCAAACGATTGAAATGGAGCTATGAACGAGTTGGCAATTGCAATGGGACTCACGGTCTTGACGCAGGACATCCTGGATAGCTTGTTCTGACGCCTCAGCGACCTCGGCAAGCTGCCTGTCATCTATGAAGTCTGCCACAGGTTGGACTACAGCAGGAGCTGGTGGGGGACGAAACTGTGAAGGTGGTGCTACGACAGCAGCGTTGGCACTGCGGGCGGAAGGTTGCACCGCAGGCAAAACGGACTCTGATGAAGAAGAATCATCCTGAAATTGAAAAGTGTTCGGGTTACACAGTGGAATAGCGTCTCTCACTAATAAAACTCCCCCGCCAGAACGAGATGTGGACGAAGTGGACTGTGGTCGTCTGGGAGCACCAGTCATGTCAACATACATCCTCCTAATTAGATCGTATGAAAAATAGTCATTGGTTTGGTTTGCATATTCCCAACATCTGCCGAATTCGAATATTTGACTTGGAGTACAATGGCAATTGCTCAATAACTCTTTGGCAACATGTAGCTGTACACCGTTTACGATAAAGAATGTGGCTACTACGGTTTGACTTTGATGGTTAATGTTGAAAAGGTTTTCATAACGGAGTGCGTTAGCAATATGCTGGGGCCAAAATTCATAGGGTGCGGGGAGGTGATCTTCAATGAATTCAATAACTTGTTGATCAAGTGTTTTTTTAACCTGAAAACATACATTACTACTAATATGAATATTTAAATAGGTAGGCTGCTGCTCTAGTATGTGTGCAACAGGTAATGCATGATTTATCTATTTCTTTGTGAGTAGATAGGGTATACAGGCCTATGTATTCCACAGGCAAACTACAATACGATAGGCTAAGAGCAAAGGATATGTAACATAACCTAAATTTATTAGGCTAGGCGTACAAGTAATCACAATATATCTGTTGTCATAACTGCTGACCTACATCGATGCCATATATAGCACAGGGAAATACGTGGACAACATATAAATTATACAACTCATTAGCCTGCACTTCAACGGAACGATAGTCATACTTGTTCACTTGTCATACGATAGTGACTGTAGATTAATAAATGTCATAGCAATCAATGTAATAGGTTAATTTTTATTTTAAACTGGACCTATCAATATAGGCTATAGGGGTACAGTTTGATAACTGGGCTACGATAATATCGATTGAAACTATCAATTCGATTAGTAAACCTTCATGCGATTTTTTCACCATCAGCAAGTTCGGTTGGTTAGGTTAGGTTAAGATAGTTTAATTTGATAGTAAATATATTTTAAATTATCGATTATTTATCAATATTTTCAATTCGATAGTTTCAATTGATATCAGCATAGCCCAGTTAAGAAACTGTACCCGGCTATAGGTGTATATTGTGGCGATGTATGGCTTATTCTATGTTGAGTATAGGCCTAGTCAACATTCCATTATTTTTTATTATTCAATGGTTGTTTAGTTGATTGATTACGATTATATAAATTTGTTGGATAACGTGTAAAAATGGTTATATGGTTAAAAATCTTTAACCTAGGTCAAAATGTATGCGAGCATAGTCATGCTGTTGATTGTATTGTATGTAAAATGGTGCTATATAACTGTAATATTGCTGTAACTGATTGGGCTTCAACCTAATGCTAATTAGCCTACATAATTTGGTTGGCATTTACCCACAATGTTGTGTTCGTTAGAGCGGGTGTTCAACACACTAGCCTATATCTAAACTGTAACCTGCGCCCTGGGTATACGGGCTAAAGTTATTAACACAATGGGGTACGGTTATGCGAAATGTTATTGATTTCATGTATAGAAACAGACTGTAATTGCAAATGATGGCTGTATTTCTTGTAGGTAATGGAATAAAATGGCATGGCCTTTTGATAACGGAATGTAGTGTTCAAGTACAGTTATTCTATATACATGCAGGCCTGTGCAAATTCTTTATCGTTATATTTTAGACATCAACTACTGTTATTAGATATATATAGTTGTAGGTTCATTTTATTTGTTTTACATCTGAACAGAAAACTGGTCAACCATGTGGTTTGGCCAGGCAATGGGTCTTTTTAAAGTGTATAAGTACTCTACTATGATAAATCACTGGTGAAAATATACACTGTTTATTAGGCAATGGACTGATTTGGTTGTAAATTTGTACTAAATATTTCTTTACACCGTTTTTAAAGATTGAAAACAAGTTTTTGCAATGCAATAGACTAGGCCTAGGGTGACATTGTTGTACTTACATTTGAAGTTGACATATTTATTTCTTCGCACTGGGACTAGCTAATTTAATAATTTACTTTAATAATTGGGTTAAAATTTAGGTGTTGAGGGCCGAATTATACATTTTTTGGAAAATTGAAAAATACAGTTAAAAAACGGTCGGACAAACGCCGAACACGACTGCAATGGTAGCTAGCTAGATCCCAAGAGAAAGAAATAGGCGCGAATCACATCCCTTTATAATTTCGCAAGACAAAGACACAGGGTTGAGGAATAAAAAGTCATTGGAATAAATAATTATATATTAGCATGTTATTAGCATAAGTTGGGAATTGATTATTATTAAAATAATGAAAGTTATATTGTATATAGGGGTAAAATTCATTGCAATTGGTTTAGATGAATATAGTTTAATGTAATAAAATGAGTATTATTAATAAAGATTTGTTGACATACAATTGACTATTAATTTCATCTTCATATATATACATATAGTTGTCATTACAATTATTGTTTCCATACATCAATTAAGTCACATATGAAATTGGTTTGATGAAATGATAACAACAATATAAGAAAGAGTTGTACGCAGGGAGATATTGTAAAGGGGATGGCACGCGCCTAACAAAGGTGGCAGCTAATTGAGGGGTGGCACCCTGCTGGACACCTGTCAAACACTACATTAGTTGTGGGCACGGACAAAAAGGACCACCCGTGGCTCAGGGGGAAAAAATTTTTCAATAACACCTTTTGAACTGGATTGATAAAGCGGGTTTGATAACACCAACAATACTACAGTAGTGGGGGCTATCACCTTGACAGGCGATGGTGTCCGAAATAAGCCGAACACGGCCGAACAACACCAATGCATCGGTGTGAAACTGCATTGTTGTCTATTAATTAAATTATAATTATTTACACTTGCAACGTACTAATGTGTGTTGTTAGGGAATTTTTCTTTAACAGTTCAATTAATGATGAATTCATTTTCATGGTAGTAACCAATAGACGGTATTTAGTATACGATTAATAATTAAGAGAAATGCCACGGTGGCCGTTGGTTACTTGTTGATTTGCGTGGGTGGCTTTGGATATGTTAACAACGACACCGCAAGGTAGGGAATACCGCAAGGGAACATTTTTGAATTACTGCCAGGCATTTATTAGAAGTTTTGACTGTTCTTCCAAAGTAACCTTAAGTATTAACAAGGTTAGAAAGAAAATGCCACAGTGGCACGGTTTAAACTCACAGAAGGACAGGGTGGCATTAAATATAAAAAGCGTATAATACAGAAAAATACGTGTGCGGCAGTGTGAGAAGGTGTTGTTAGGTGTTATTGGTTGTAGTTTGAGTGGAAAATGCCAGTTTGGAAGGTTGCAATACGGATTTTTCAGTTTTATGAAACTTTTGCTTTGATTTGGGGAAAAAATGCAGGTAAGGTATTGATATCTACCTACGGTAGGTGCCCTAAGACAAAAATTTGGTAATTTTTGTAAAAATCGATGTTAAATCCTCAAAAAGCATTTCTTAAGGAAATTTATTAGTTGTAGAAGGTTTTGTAACACTTTTCGAGGCTATTGGGTGTGAAGGGGTGCAGAAATTAGAATATGCCACGATGGCACTTCACCGTCCATGGGGGCCAAGGTGGCCTTTTTCCAAAAATACTTATAAAACAGCTTCTTTCAAGTAATTTTCATAAACATACAGCAGTTTTGACTGTTCTTCCAAAGTTCCTAATGGTATTAACACGGTTAGTAAGAAATGCCACAGTGGCCCGGTTTAAACTCACATAAGGCCAGGGTGGCATTTAACATAAAAAGCGTATAATACAGCAAAATACGTGTGCGGCAGTGTGAGAAGGTGTTGTTAGGTGTTATTGGTTGTAGTTTGAGTGGAAAACGCCAGTTTGGAAGGTTGCAATACGGATTTTTCAGTTTTATAAACTTTTGCTTTGATTTGGGGAAAAAATGCAGGTAAGGTATTGATATCTACCTACGGTAGGTGCCCTAAGACAAAAAATTGGTAATTTTTGTAAAAATCGATGTTAAATCCTCAAAAAGCATTTCTTAAGGAAATTTATTAGTTGTAGAAGGTTTTGTAACACTTTTCGAGGCTATTGGGTGTGAAGGGGTGCAGAAATTAGAATATGCCACGAAGGCACTTCACCCTCCATGGGGGCCAAGGTGGCCTTTTTCCAAAAATACTTATAAAACAGCTTCTTTCAAGTAATTTTCATAAACATACAGCAGTTTTGACTGTACTTCCAAAGTTCCTAATGGTATTAACACGGTTAGTAGATAATGCCACAGTGGCCCGGTTTAAACCCACATAAGGCCAGGGTGGCATTAAACATAAAAAGCGTATAATACAGCAAAATACGTGTGCGGCAGTGTGAGAAGGTGTTGTTAGGTGCTATTGGTTGTAGTTTGAGTGGAAAATGCCAGTTTGAAAGGTTGCAATACGGATTTTTCAGTTTTATAAACTTTTTGCTCGCATTTGGGAAAAAAATGCAGGTAAGGTATTAATATCTACCTACGGTAGGTGCCCTGAGACTGAAATTTGGTAATTTTTTTAAGAATCGATGTTAAATCCTCTAAAACCATCTCTTAAGGAAATTAATTAGTTGTAGAAGGTTTTGTAACACTTTTCGACGCTATTGGGTGTGAAGGGGTGCAGAAATTAGAATATGCCACGATGGCACTTCAACGTCCATGGGGGCCAAGGTGGCCTTTTTCCAAAAATACTTACAAAACAGCTTCTTTCAAGTAATTTTCATAAACATACAGCAGTTTTGACTGTTCTTCCAAAGTTCCTAATGGTATTAACACGGTTAGTAAGAAATGCCACAGTGGCCCGGTTTAAACTCACATAAGGCCAGGGTGGCATTTAACATAAAAAGCGTATAATACAGCAAAATACGTGTGCGGCAGTGTGAGATGGTGTTGTTAGGTGCTATTGGTTGTAGTTTGAGTGGAAAATGCCAGTTTGAAAGGTTGCAATACGGAGTTTTCAGTTTTAGAAAACTTTTTGCTCGGATTTGGGGAAAAAATGCAGGTAAGGTATTAATATCTACCTACGGTAGGTGCCCTGAGACTAAAATTTGGTAATTTTTTTAAGAATCGATGTTAAATCCTCAAAAAGCATTTCTTAAGGAAATTAATTAGTTGTAGAAGGTTTTGTAACACTTTTCGACGCTATTGGGTGTGATGGGGTGAAGAAATTAGAACATGCCACGATGGCACTTCACACTCCATGGGGGCCAAGGTGGGATTTTTCCGTAAATACTTATAAAACAGCTTCTTTCAAGTAATTTTCATAAACATACAGCAGTTTTGACTGTTCTTCCAAAGTTCCTAATGGTATTAACACGGTTAGTAGATAATGCCACAGTGGCACGGTTTAAAATCACAGAAGGCCAGGGTGGCATTAAACATAAAAAGCGTATAATACAGCAAAATACGTGTGCGGCAGTGTGAGAAGGTGTTGTTAGGTGTCATTGGTTGTAGTTTGAGTGGAAAACGCCAGTTAGGAAGGTTGCAATACGGGTTTTTCAGTTTTAGAAAACTTTTTGCTCGGATTTGGGGAAAAAATGCAGGTAAGGTATTGATATCTATCTACGGTAGGTGCCCTGAGACCAAAATTTGGTAATTTTTGTTTAAATCGTCAAAAAGCATTTCTTAAGGAAATTTATTAGTTGTAGAAGGTTTTATAACACTTTTCGAGGCTATTGGGTGTGAAGGGGTGCAGAAATTAGAATATGCCACGATGGCACTTCACCGTCCATGGGGGCCAAGGTGGCCTTTTTCCAAAAATACTTATAAAACAGCTTCTTTCAAGTAATTTTCATAAACATACAGCAGTTTTGACTGTTCTTCCAAAGTTCCTAATGGTATTAACACGGTTAGTAAGAAATGCCACAGTGGCCCGGTTTAAACTCACATAAGGCCAGGGTGGCATTTAACATAAAAAGCGTATAATACAGCAAAATACGTGTGCGGCAGTGTGAGAAGGTGTTGTTAGGTGTTATTGGTTGTAGTTTGAGTGGAAAACGCCAGTTTGGAAGATTGCAATACGGATTTTTCAGTTTTAGAAAACTTTTTGCTTGGATTTGGGGAAAAAATGCAGGTAAGGTATTGATATCTACCTACGGTAGGTGCCCTAAGACAAAAAATTGGTAATTTTTGTAAAAATCGATGTTACATCCTCAAAAAGCATTTCTTAAGGAAATTTATTAGTTGTAGAAGGTTTTGTAACACTTTTCGAGGCTATTGGGTGTGAAGGGGTGCAGAAATTAGAATATGCCACGATGGCACTTCACCGTCCATGGGGGCCAAGGTGGCCTTTTTTCCAAAAATACTTATAAAACAGCTTCTTTCAAGTAATTTTCATAAACATACAGCAGTTTTGACTGTTCTTCCAAAGTTCCTAATGGTATTAACACGGTTAGTAGATAATGCCACAGTGGCCCGGTTTAAACCCACATAAGGCCAGGGTGGCATTAAACATAAAAAGCGTATAATACAGCAAAATACGTGTGCGGCAGTGTGAGAAGGTGTTGTTAGGTGCTATTGGTTGTAGTTTGAGTGGAAAATGCCAGTTTGAAAGGTTGCAATACGGATTTTTCAGTTTTATAAACTTTTTGCTCGCATTTGGGAAAAAAATGCAGGTAAGGTATTAATATCTACCTACGGTAGGTGCCCTGAGACTAAAATTTGGTAATTTTTTTAAGAATCGATGTTAAATCCTCTAAAACCATTTCTTAAGGAAATTAATTAGTTGTAGAAGGTTTTGTAACACTTTTCGACGCTATTGGGTGTGAAGGGGTGCAGAAATTAGAATATGCCACGATGGCACTTCACCGTCCATGAGGGCCAAGGTGGCCTTTTTCCAAAAATACTTACAAAACAGCTTCTTTCAAGTAATTTTCATAAACATACAGCAGTTTTGACTGTTCTTCCAAAGTTCCTAATGGTATTAACACGGTTAGTAAGAAATGCCACAGTGGCCCGGTTTAAACTCACATAAGGCCAGGGTGGCATTTAACATAAAAAGCGTATAATACAGCAAAATACGTGTGCGGCAGTGTGAGATGGTGTTGTTAGGTGCTATTGGTTGTAGTTTGAGTGGAAAATGCCAGTTTGAAAGGTTGCAATACGGATTTTTCAGTTTTAGAAAACTGTTTGCTCGGATTTGGGGAAAAAATGCCGGTAATGTATTGATATCTACCTACGGTAGGTGCCCTTATACTAAAAT